ATCTGTTCACACATATTTTTTTCTTTGAAAATTTTGTCTGAAGAAGTTATGGCAGAGTTTTTTTTAAGATGCTTATCTACACATTTGGGGAATTTCCTTCTCTGGCTCTTCTTTCTTTCTTTCCTTCTTTCTTTCTCTTTGTCTCTGGGTGTGAATAGCCCTGCAACAACAGGAACAGGTGAAAGCATTCACAAGTGGAATTTCTGGCCCACTTTCAACACATTCTGTTTTCCAGTCTGAAATTGGCTCTGCCAAGATAGCTCGCTGGGTCTTGCTGGCTGGTCAGCGAAGTCGGTGCAAGTATTTGTTGATTGCACTGGATTCAGCAGAGCCAAAGCCACTGATTTGGCAAATGCAAGTGTTAGTTATTTGCTGTAGTTCCATTTTCGACATTTAGAGCATTTATGACTTAGTGGAATTGTAATCAGACGTGCTTGTACCTTGTAAAATAGTTGCCCAATTAGGACTTGCTGGGTGCTTTGCATTTTAATGTAATTAGACCATTAGATCACATTATTGTATCAGATGTTGCATCCCATTTTCCTGTCAATTTTACTGAACTGCTGTGTAATCAAGTGGTTTTGGCACTGAAATACAACCACTCCAGTCCACAACTATTCAGAAGTCTATTTAAAGGTCTCTCTTTCCAGTTTCCTTTAAATAAGGAGTTTTGTTTTTAGTGAAACAAAAGGCTATTTTGTTTATTGTGGCTTTGATGCAACTGAAGGCCTGTGGACATTTACTTTTTTCATGTCCCAACAATTAGATTGCTCAACACAGACTTGTTAACATTACTCTGCAATATGTGTTTGTCTCTCAATTGGGGTTTCTCAACCAATAAACTTGCAATTGTAGAGTTTTTCCAGGTGTTTTTATGCTCAAGAAGTCACATGAGCTTGGTGCTATCAGGGGTGTGCATGTGTTTGAGCTAAGTACTCTATATGTGACTTATGTAAAATGTTTTTATCTACATTTATCTGAGCGGGTCTGTGCCTACATGTGTGCATCCCATCTGCGGCCTTGTGAGAGAGTGTACATGTCTGTATCATGGTCCCATGTGGCTGCGTGTGTGTGCGTAAGTCTGAGTTTCTGTCCCTGAGCCTTTGAGGGGCCGACAGAGGCACCTCTCTCAACACGACACTGTAAGAAGAGACCTTCCTCTCCCTTTAGCACCAACTCTTCCCACCTGAAACTTGAATCTCTCACCACCAGGATCACAGGCCAAGGTATTTCTGCCTGTATGTGTGTGTGAGAGACACACGCTGCCACACAGCATGAGCGGCATTTCTGCCATTAAAGCTATGCCCTCCACATCAGGGTGCTCACTTTTCAGTGTGCATGAAGACAGGGGCCCAACAGGGGGCAGCACTTCTGCAGTAGCGCTGAAAATTATGATGTTGAATTTGTCATTGACACTTCTGACTGAATGACTTCCTTCTGATGAAAAATAAAAGTTTTTTGAAGGCAAAGCCCTCTGGTTCAGTCACCACTGGAATAGCAGAGACACAGTCTATAAATAGTATTTGACTCCAGGCTTTGACTCAAGGGACATTTATCTCTCGTATCGCCTCAGTGGAAGCAACATTATGACACTTTAATGCTCACAGAAACGGCACGGCCAGCCGTCGTTAAGGCTTGGGCAAACTATCTCACAGTCCAACTCTGCTTACAACCTTCAGGTGTTTGCAATTAACGCCCGCCTGTTCCCTCAACAGACACACACAACGCATGCTCTCGCACACGAACGTACACACAGATTCATTACTTACACATGAACACAACACCTTTGGCTGCGCTAATTAGAACCATGTGAGGGCTTGTATGTGTCCTGTGAAGGGGGAGTGTATTGTCATCTCTGCAATTTGCATTTAAGGGCCGTTTAACACGTCTGATGCTGAATAGGGGAGCACACAGTCTGCCCACACTTGGACACAGGCCCGAAAATAAACGCTAGCCAGAGACGCCCATTAATATTACTCAGTCACCAGTCACTGCAGACTGTGCAGCAGGAGCGGGTGCTAAAACGATGCAGTCATCGCCCATCTGTTGAAATGACAGTTTTTGGGGGGGTTTTTATGTTTTAACAAATTGAAGGCATACGTGATCTTTAGTGGTGTAAACATTTGAGTATCAGATCCTTTCAGAACAATTGAATACATTTAAAAATACACTATGGTAAATGTATTTACTTTCTGAAAAAATGCTTTGGATTTACATTTTAAATTTCCTTTTAGAAATTGTTGGATTGCATTGCTTCTTTCACAGATTTTTTTTTAACTGTGACAAAATATAAACTAAAAAGGCCAAATATCCACCAGTTACAGCTTCTCAGTTGTGACGATTTGCTGCTTTGTGTTGTCTTTTGTGATTGTAAACTGATTATCCTTGGAGTTTAGTTACACAAAACAACCAATTATAAGATGTCTTTCTGGGCTTTAGGAAATTGTGATGTTCGTTTTTGTTTTGTTTTCTGATTCTATTTCTGGTCATCGGCTAATTGAGCCCTTGTTCATATATTGAAATTGGTTTATCGAATATTGTTGTTATTGTTATAGGACATCACCTACAGTTAAACGTTTTAAGTTAAAAACACTGTAGCATATCCTCAAGTGTACATTTGTTTCTTACGTCATAGTTAGGACTGAGGTCCTTCAGTTAGTATAGGTCATATATAAGTATTTGGTGTTAGTGTATACGAGGGCAAGAGGTCAGACCCCTGGCTGTGCTGTCAGATCAATTTCCATCAGATAAGAGCTCATTAACACACTGAACGGGAACATAGGCCCCCCATATATGTGTGTTTGTGTGTATTCATATAATTGAGAGAGCATGCTCACAGCGGGGCTCCTTGACACTTGTACACATAGCAACAGAAAATGTATTTAACATAAATTCTTCTCTGCTTTCTGTACAGTTACTGTGTCTCCATATTCCTGCATATGCAGTGGGTTACTATTATAGTCCCACTGTCTGCAGTTGTGAAATACAGTATAATGTCTTGTGCGAGGTCCACCAGCTGTCTGCTGGTGTTAACCAGCCTGTCTGAGGATCAAACTCTCACCCAGGAGGCAGACGGGAGGCTGCATGCTCTCCCTGCCTAGCTTCCTGCTCTCTCGCATGCAGGAGGAGATGGGGGGAAAGCCCGGCTTTTAGGGAGACGGAGTCCCAAAATGGGGCCAACAACCCCCAGGGCTGCATTTTGTTTTTAAAGCTACAATAAATCAAACGGGAAGCTTGCAGATACTTATACAATCTCTCGCCACAGGAAGAATACATAGGCCATATAAGATCCATTAATGACCATTTTAAAATAATAAACGCAGGAAATTTGTTTTCATAAGTGGTCTTGTTTTAGATTTGTTCCGCTATAGCTTTAGGCTGTAGGCAGTTTTTTCAAGTATTAATATGCTGGAGAGCAGCACAGCTCTGTGTGTGCACGTGTGTGAGTCTCTGCTTCCTTTTACTCTATGTGTTTCTATTTGCACACTTGCATCCATTTGTTTTGTGCACGTGTGTTTGTTTTGATGTCTGCAGGCATATGTTTTAGGGTTTGGCTCCCAGTGACCGACTGCATTGCTTTAAATTCACGGTGTATGAAGTCAGTTATGAAGATGGTATCCTGTGGCAGAAAATCCTGGTTCCTTCTTACACTGTGCTGCAGGGGAAATAAAGAGATTTCAAACCAGGGTAGAATATAGACAATTCTTAAAATACAAAATACTTTCCATCCTGCTGCTGCTGCACAGAGGCAAGTGTCTGTGTATGCATGAAAACACACACATATTCCTCAGATTGGGTCTGTAGGGTCTAAGGTGCATCAGTGTTTTAAATACATGGATTAAAACTACTGTATCTTATTGGGATTTAGTCTTTAATGGAAACATGCTGTGTCGGAAATGTTGCCGATTACTTTATTGGTGATTATTCCTTCCTGATGGACATTGTTAGAAAGGAAATGGCCTCATCCATCCCCTCTTGCCTTCATCCTTCTTTCCTTGCAGCCTGCTTTGTATTTAGCACCATCATCATATGGACAGCAGCTTTACAGCTGTGCATGCCTCATGTCCTCAGGTTACTTCTATCCATCAGCTGATATGTCTGTTATTCCCTCTGGTCACTGTAAGAGTCAAATAAAAATGAGTGACTCTTCCTCATATCTTGTCCTCATTTGGAGGATCATTTTGGAAGGCTTGAGTGTGCTCTGTTTATTT